GTGGGATGAGATCGTTGACATGTGGAAGGCCGCCAAGCCAAGGCGGCCTTGCCAGGATGCAATTGCCCCCATTCTTGCCCCAATGTCCAGGAAGAAGAAGAGCAAGGCCGAGGCAAAGAAGAGAAGGAAGATCGCTGAGCTCGAGGCTCAGATCAGGAAGTGGAAGGGGATGGCTGTAGTTGAGGAGGATGGGCTGGAGGAAGGAGAGGTGGAAGAGGAGGTGGAGGAGGAGGTAGAGGAGGAGGAGCTGACGGAATTTGATGATGACGAGTAGGTACCGTAAATGTAGGGAGGGAGGGAATGGCCATCTGCCTTCATGCTCGTTCGTTTGTAACTTGCAAGTAGTACTAACTTAATCAAAGTGCTTAACTGTATCTTCTATTGTCCCACACTAACAGACTATGCAGTAGAATTTCTCTGTATTTTCAGACAAAGATTCTCAATTTCTCTGGAAAATCAGGCAACTTTTTCAAAATTCTCTGATCCTGAAAAGCGCATCAGACAAAGTGCGTAGAACATGTCTGATTGCTCAGACACGTTTTTTCCAAAAGAGAACCCTGATTCCGGTGGGTGTAATTATCAGAGTAATGAATTCACTAGAATAGAAGGTCAGGGTAATTTTGTGCTAGTGTTGCACTCTCTAAGAGCATTCACATATCTAGCCTATAATAATATACAGTAACGGAACAATTGTCCGTATGTTTTGCGTTAATTTGGGTTTTTAGGCTTTAAGACCTCTATACATTAATGGTGGTGTTAGGCTGATAAAAAGCCTTAGGACCTTTCCAGAGACTAAGTCCCACTTGTACAAAACGCTTGAGTAGTGCAGCGGAAGTGTTGAGTACAGGGCCTCAGATAGGATTTTAGGCATACTGACCAATCAGGGCGGGCCCCCAAAAAACGTGTAGTAGTCAGGGTTGGTGGCTTATGTTCATACTGATTCCTCAGGGTGGTTCTCCAGCTCTATACTTTGGCCTCAGGGTAAATTCTGAAATGCATGAAATCTTAGAAGTCACTCTAAACAGCAACAGCAGCACACTTGGCTTCACGTGTGCGATGGGTTGAGGGCGCGACTGGCCGAGTTTGCATCAACTGCAGCGCACGAGGAAATCGGACAAGGAAAATTTTCTTCGTCTGACTGTCAGACAGAATTTTGCTGAGACCGGATGGGCGTTCAGTTCAAAGCGAATGCAATGCAGCCCCTGAAAACTCTGATGAAGTCAAAGGCAAGAAATGAAAAGTTGCGTGAAAAAAGCTGCAGTCCGATTTCCATCGAGCAGTTATGACGGCGTTTGATGAGGCGGGGTGGTGAGGGCGCATTCCTCGCCTGTGGCACACTCTATGGCAAGATCTTCTGTTTCCCAATTCAACATGCAAGATCATCTGAATTTGTTTATGTTAATCTTGACCGTGGAACGACTCGTAAAAGTTGGCCACGAAGTATTCTGCCAAACGTGAGGAAAAATCCCTGAGTTGCAGTACTTGACGAGATTTTGATTCGACGTAACCTGGGCATCACGAATTCTATGAGGACTAAGCCAGAATTTCAGGGTTGCATAGAAGTTGTAGAAGTATGTTTCTGGCAGGGAGAACTTAGCCAAGAAGTTTTAGTGAGTAGGGGGTGGAGCGGGGGGAGGATTGTCTCTAGCATTGAGTATCAGAAAGAATAATTTAACTAGAATGTGTGAATACAAGGGTATATAGACTAGGGTGTTGTACCCTCTAAGGCACAATCAAGTATAGTCTACAGTAACGACCTAAGTTACATTTGATACACCCCCTAGACCATATAGGGGCAGTGCTTAACAAGGAAAGAAGCAGCTCAGGGCGGCGCTACTAGTCCAGCCTCTGAGGCACGGGTCTAAAGACCAGTCAAAGGAGAACAAACAAGACAAGAGCAAGACCAGTGCGGCACTACTAGTCCAGCCACTGAGAGAGGCCACAAGGCCAGTCAGGGTGAAAAATATATATAAAGGACAGTACAAAGTTAAGGCCCTAGCAAGTGAGAGGCTACAGGAACGAGACCTAGCTGTACACAATGCCGCTGATGATCTTTAGGCGCAAGCGCCTTCCTAAAGATATAAGCTGTATTGGCACCGGAGGCCAAGTGTACTACGCGCGCCTGGCGGCTCTGCTGGAGCTCACGCAGCTGGATGTGCTTCGCTCTGCCCTCGAGTCGAGGCTCCTGACACAGGAGGATCATGGCCCTGTTGTCAGCGTACAGGACCGGGGCAGAGCTAGGCCGCTCACCTAAGTCAGTGAGCAAGAAGGTCAGCCAGCGGAGCTCCTGAGCCGCCATGGCACCGGCATAGATCTCGGCCTCACAGCTGGACTGGGCAACAGACGAGGAGCGGGTAGCTCTCCACGAGACGGCACCTGAACCAAGGCTGAAGCAGTAGCCCTGCGAGGACTTGAGGGTCTCGGCGTCGTCTGCCCAAGAAGCATCTGTGTGTCCAGTAAGGACCACTGGCCTGCGTCCTCCTAGCACTAACCCCATGCCCGATGTACTTGCAAGATAATGCAAAACCCTCTTAGCGGTAGACCAGTGCTGAGGTCGGTGTCTGCCTGTAGCCACAAAGCGAGCCAGGATGCTGAGAGGGTATGCGAGATCTGGGCGAGTGCAAGTCATCAGGTACATGAGGCAACCCACCAGCTCTACGTAAGGAACACTGGGCTCTGCTGACTCCTGAGGAACAGGAGCGAAGAGCCTGTGGTCTACAGGCAGAGGAGTGGGCTGTGCGGAGGAGAACTGAAGACCGAACCTCTGAAGGACCTGGCGCACCAAGTGTGACAGAGTCTAAGTGATGGTGCGTGCTGCTCTGTCCCTGGAGATCTGCAAGCCAAGGTAGTGGCACAGTTCTCCAAGGTCAGTGCAAGTGTGTCTCTTTAGCAGCTCGGCCTTCACGGAGGCCAGTGCGTCCCTGTCTGCTGTGGCAAAGACCAGGTCGTCTACGTAAACAAGGATATAGAACGGGGTCTGGCCAGCACGAACAAAGAGCGAGGGGTCTGCAGAGGACGAAAAGAACTGCAGGTCAGCAAGCGTAGCACGCAGTGTGTCGTGCCACTCACGGGGAGCCTGCCGCAGGCTGTAGACGGGGCGCCGCAGGAGCCACTGGGTCCGAGGAGGGAAAGTGCTAGTGAAGCCCTGAGGGCGGCGCAGGTAGACCTGCTCGTATAGACTGCCCTGAAGAAACGCAATGGAGAAGTCGAGGGAGTGAAGCTCGTAGTCATGGTGAGCTGCTACGTATAGCAGAACCCGAAGAGTAGTCATCTTCGGGGTCGGAGCGAAGGTCTGGAAGAAGTGCACCCCCTCATGCTTACTGAAACCTCTAGCCACGTAGCGCTCTTTGAATACACGCGGCTCTCCAGGAGGGTGCTTCACCTTGAAGAGCCAGCGGCCATCGACTACGTTCACCCCAGGTGGGGAACTGTGTCGAGGTAGGTGCCGGTGGATCTCCAAGATGCCATCTCCTGCTCCATGGCAGCTATCCACTGAGAGGCCCAGGGTCCCGAGACCGCCTCAGCGTAAGTGCGAGGGGTCGGGATGTCGAAAGCGTTAGGGTCACCCTTAGGGACTAGAAGCATAGAGCAGTGATGGGGAGCAGCCCCGGATAGGAAAGCAAGCTCGTACTGGCGGTCCTCCAGGACGTCACTGCCGAGGGCAGGAGCACCCCCGACAGACGGCAGGTAGAGGCGAAGTCAGCGATCGTAGCGACAAGGGCGTCAAGGCTCGAAACCGGAACAGACGGGCCGGTAACGAGATAGGCAAGGACCCGAGGAACAAGAGGACGAGCGGCACGCAAGTAGTCCGATAGAGGGGGGGGAGCAACGACAAGGGAGGACAGAGGGGGCGACGGGAGAAAGGAGGACGAGACGCGTGGGAATGAAGCAACATAGGGTGAGAGCGCGAGACAGGGGAGACAGTTCGAGCAGGGGAGGGACGGCGAGACCAGACGTGAGACGCAGGAGTCGGGTCAGGGGCCAGAGGAGGGGACTCGAGAGGGGAACAAGGGGGGAAACATGCCAGCGACAAGTCCGTAGGAGGGAACACAGGGCCGTAGACAAGAGGAGGAGGAGCCACAGGCATGGGGTCAGGGGACGGAAGGCCGAGCAGGCGAAGAGCGGACACCGGCGGGGACTGCTGCGGCGGCGATGTGACACCAACACCGGGACCGCAAGCTGCCTGGCGGCTACCTCCAGAACACTCCACGCCAGCTATTAGAAGGAACACCCCCAGAGCTTAGAACCCCTCGAGCACCGGTACCACCCCCAGGCCCGCCGAGACAAGCCACGAGAGGAGTCCCAGGACTAGTACCCACCCCAACTCCAGCACCCCCAGAGGCAACGAACTGCTGTGGCGACGGCTGCGCCAGCGGCGGCTGCAACGATGGCTACGGCGATGGCGGCTGCGGTGACGACGGCTGCGACAGCGGTGGCGATGGCGGCTGCGGAGGCGGCGGAGGAGGAGACACCTGAGAAGGGGCAGGCGGCGAGGACTGCGCCGCAGGACCACCAGAGTTAGCAGACTCCTCAACCGGGACAAGCGACGTAAGTGGGGTGGCGTGGGACACACCAAAGGGGGCAGGACGGGGAGGGGGAGGAGGAGGGGCGGCGACGACTAGGGAAGGGGTGACCAAGAACAGGGGGGGGTAACCGGGGGACCTCAGTGGGGGAAGCGGCAGAAGAAGGAGATGGACTCGTCAAAGGTGACATCACAGGAGTGAAAGAACCGGTGAGACGACGGGTGGTAGAAGTGCCAGTCAGACATGCAAGGGGGAAGCCGAGGAAGACACAGGGAAGGGTGCGGGCAGTGAGCTTGTCCATGGCAGAGGGACGAACGTGAGCAAGGCAGCCCCAGACGTGGAACGCAGACGCGTCACCAGGTGACCCAGACCAGAGGAGGGTCGGCGAAACCTGAGGCTGCTGGGGGTGCGGCCACATGTTTAGCTGGTGAGCGGCGTAGCAAACAGCGAATGGCCACAGAAAATGGGGTGCCCCAGCATGGATCATGGAGGTACGAGCCACCTCCATGACCAAACCGATGCGTCGCTCAGCGACCCCATTCTGCTGCGGGGAGTCCGGCAGGGTGAACGTCTGGGTGATGCCCTCCGCACAACAAAATTGACCAAGGACACTAGAGGCAAAACTCGCCACCACGGTCGGAGTGGAGACGCAAGACAGGGAGACCGCGGTGGACACGCGCAGAGACAAGACACGGTATAAGAACGGCTGGCATGTCGGCATTCTGCTCCAGGGGGAACACAGTGGTGTAGCGCGTGAAGTCGTCGACAAGCACGAGGAAGTAGCGCTCTCGACGCGACCCATGGACGGGGGCGGGGCCCCAGACGTCCATGTGCAGAGTTTGTAGCGGTGCTGTAGTAGGGGGAAACAAGGAGGAGTGAGGGGCACGGCGGAGCCGGCCCTCGACACAGGGCGTGCAAGGTGGGGCTCGGGAGGAGGGAAACTCGAGGAACGAACCGGGGAGGCCTAGGACGAGACCGTGCTGTGACATGTAACGCAGACACGGGAGCACATGGTGATCTAGGCGGTGGTGTCAGAGAAGAGTCGGGTGAGTGAGAGACCGACAGGAGTAGGCAGCAGCAACCGGGGGAGACGCAGTCACCTGAGGGGGGGTCCCAGCCGGGGGGGTCATCGTGTCCAGCGTGAAAAGACCGGACACCGGGTCCTGCGGAAACGTGGACACGGGGGCACCAGTGGCGGCCTCGGTACAGATAGCGTACCGCTCGTGTCCAGGGAACGTAGTGGTAACGCCAAGGTCCTGAAGGCAGCCGACACCAACTAGGTTCCTGGAGAACGAGGGGATGTGCAGTCCTGTGAGCGAGCCCGAAGGAACCGCCGGGCAGGGGAGGGTGGTGGAACTGCGAACAACTACAGGGCCGGAGGAGGGGTCAGCAAGACAGACTGCGGCAGGGACAGGGAGCGGTGTCATCGTGGTGGAGTCGCGGAAGAAGCACCGGGAAGCGCCAGAGTCGAGGGTGAAGGAGAGCGCGGCAGTGGTGGCCGGAGGCGAAGCAGCGACGGAAGCACCAAGGCTAAACAAAGCAGGAGATCCTATGCCTGACGCAGCAGGGGAGTCTAAGCAAGGCACACCTACACTAGGCAACAAGGGGTAATAAGACGGAAGCACATTAGAGTCATCAGCATACATCACATGCTGAGCAGTAACAATCTCATCCACATCCAGATCAAAAAGCTGAACCCTACGACGAAGCAAACTGTGGCACTCTGGGAGCTCGGGCGACGGGCCGAAACGCTGACAAAACAGGTCGTCCAAGTGACGGAAACAGCGGACGGAGGTGTGACCGATCTTACCGCAAACGAAGCCACGGCGAGGACCGATCTGGAGCAGGTACTGACAGCGCGCGTCACCCGAACCACCACCTAGCAGCCCACCACGTCCAGCGCTACCACCAGCGCCAGGCCACCCGGGCGGGAGACCACTCGCCCGTCTCTGATGCGGCTGCGACTGCTGCAACTGCTGCGGCTGCTGCGGCTGACGTGAGTCCGGCTGCAACGCCGGCGGCTGCTGAGACGGCTGCTCTGCTACACCTGGCAGGGTCCCCTCGTCCGCACCACCACCAGGAGACCCAGCTCCAGCACAACTTACACCTGCTCCCCCACCCCCGCCGCCACGCCCAGCCTTGGGGCGGCGACCCTTCCCCGGATGGACCAGTGCTGCAGCGGCAGTCTCAGCCACAGCAGCAGAACCGTCAGAGAAGGTGCACTGAGCGGGGGCGCAACCCTGAAAGATAGGGACCGGCACACTATCGCTGGTCTGAGCGATAGAGGGGTGGCGGGCCTCTATAGCGGACAGGGTGTCAACAAAGTCAGTGAGGGTGAGGTCTGCGGGGTGGACGCTAAGGAAGTGGTCACGGGCAGTGGCAAGATGGTCAGGGAGGTGGGTGGCTAGCAGGTAGAGCGTAGAGGTGAGGGGCGGCTGGTGGGCTAGAAGCTGTGTGGGAGTGCAGGCAGCACGCCAGGTCTCGTCTATAGTGCGCAGGTGAGCGGCCAGGTCGGCGACAGTGGGGAACGACGCAAGGTCAGGGAAGAGCATGGGGAGGATCAGACGACTGACCGAGGCAGCAGGTGGGGTGGAATAGCGTTGGACAACAGCATCTAGGAAAGCCTGGGCAGTGGTGATAGACCTGAAGCGAGGTTGCTCGTACAGGGGGGAGGGCATTGCTAATGGCAAGCTGTGCGACAGCGTCACGGGACAGCCAGACAGAGCGAGCAAGGGCAGCGGCCGCAGCGGACTCACGCTCAGCGGACGAGGGATCAGTAGACAGTGCAGCGGGGGGGTCAGGGAAGGGGAGAGTACCGTCAAGATGGACAGACAGAGAGTGGCCATCCTGCCGCTGACCAATGAGGTGGCAACGGAGGTCAGCAAGCCACGCATCAAACTCAATCGGCTGGCCCTCAGCGTCAAAGCGATGCACCTCCGCCATCAGTGACAATAGAGGGCAGTGGAGAACAGTACAGTGGGGTGCAGTGCGGCGCAGTGTGATACAGTGCGGTGCAGTGCGGTTCAGTGCGGTGCAGTGCGGTGCAGTGCGGTGCGGTGCGATGTAGTGCGGTGCAGTGCGGTACAGTGCGGTGCAGTGCGGTGCAGTGCGGTGCAGTGCGGTACAGTGCGGTGCAGTGCGGTGCATTGCGGTATAGTGCGGTGCAGTGCGGTGTGCTGCGGTACAATGCGGTGCAGTGCCGTGCAAGGTGGTCTAGTACGGTACCGGGGGGATTTGCAGGGCAGTGCTGATCGGGAGGAACGCGTCGAACCCGAGGCGGCGGCGGGCTGGTGACGACGCGAATGCAGGAGCTGGCCGGCGGACGGTGTTAGAATATACCATGCTATGCTAGTTGTGTATATTGTGTTTACATCCCTAGTTGGGTGTACACCTGTGTTGGGGTGTCAATCCAACCCAATTGTGGTTGGAGCCCCCAAACACAAGGACCACAATTGTGGGGGCACCACAAGTGGGTTGGCTAAACCACTGGTGGTACACCACACTTGGACCACCTCCAACTGGTGGTCAACCACATTTGGAAGGATCCTCCCTCCCTTGTGATTGGTCCTAACCCCCCCTTCCCTTCCAACCTTCCCTTCCTAGCTCATCTCTCTCTTCCTATGTAATGCCTTTGCTTCATCAATAAACAGAACCTTTCTGTTTCTAACATGGTATAGAGCAATAATGGCTCACGCCAACTTTTAAATCCCGATCCTTCTCCACGCTTCCGCCCCGTCCCCTTCCGACGTGCACCTCATTGCCGTCCCCTCCATCGCCGCTGCTAGACTTCTAGCCGCCGCCTCTCAACTAGTTTTCTGTTGGGTGGATTTTCAAAAACCCCCAATGCGCCAAACGCCATAGCTCGCTCGATAGTTGACAGAATTGAGTGATTCGACTTGCAAAAGAACGCTCTTGATGCCAGCTACAACGTCGTAAAATTTCAGACTGTTTTATCGCTTGGATTGTCGGATACCGCTTTCCGAAGTTTGCGCACTTTCCTGGATGTGATCACGAAGTGCTACTGAAATTTCTACCAAGTCCTATTTTCATCAGCTAACTGCCATCTTTCCCCATCTTTTGCCTCCTCACCTGCACCTGCTCATCGCCGCCTTACCACTGCTGCAGCCGTAGCAGCAGCAGCAGAAGCAGCAGCAGCACCAGAAGGAGCAGCAGACTCAGCAGCAGCAGCAGCAGCAGCAGCAGTAGCAGCAGCAGCAGCAGCAGCAGCAGCAGCAGCAGCAGCAGCAGCTGAAGGAGCAGCAGCAGCAGCAGCAGCAACAGCGGCAGCAGCAGAAGTGGCAGCAGCAGCAGCGGCAGCAGCAGCAACAGCAACAGCAGCAGCAGCAGCAGCAGAAGGAGCAGCAGCAACAGCAGCAGCAGCAGCAGCAGCAGCAGCAGCAGCAGCAGCAGCAGCAGCAGCAGCAGCAGCAGCAGCAGCAGCAGCAGCCGCAGCAGCAGCAGCAGCAGCAGCAGCAGCCGCAGCAGCAGCAGCAGCAGCAGCAGTATCTACAGCCATCCCCATCCTCCCCTCCTCTTTGAGCCGCCGCGGGTCCACCCGCCGCCGCTCCCTCCCGGCCACCGCGGGTCCACCCGCCGTCGCCTTCCTCCCACTCCGTGTCACCAATGGCATCCTTTCCCCCTCCCGTCGACGTCTCGACCCTCGATCATCTCGTGCGCGCTGCCGACAACTCAGCAACCAACTGGTATTTCTTCGTCGGCAGCCTCCACCGCGTCCTCGGCAGTGCTTATGTCCTGCCGTTCCGCCTCCTGGACATCATGCTTGGTCTCCCAGAGGGTGACCTTGGGGACCCGCCGCCTCACCCTGGCGATCCCCCCCCTCTCATTCCCCATCCCGGCGAGGAACCTCCGCCCCCCATGGTACCCGTTGGCACCAGCACTCGCGCTGCCACCGCTGAAGTTGAGCAGCTCTTCCTTACTCAGCGTCGTGAGTTCCTCGTGCTCCATACTGATTACCTGATCGCGTTGGAGGAACACGAGCGGTCGGCAACCCTCCGCACCCAGCATGCCGCTACCGCCGCCGCTTATGCCGCTGACTCTGCGCGATTTGCTGAGCGTCGTCGCGCCTGGCTCGAGGCGGACAGCCGTGCTACTGGTGCCCTTCTCCTTGCCATCCCGTCTGCGCTCATGCGCAACTTCCAGGCACGTCGCATCGGCTCCCGCCAGATCTGGCTCGAGCTTGAGGCAATGTTCGAACGCACCGACTTCGATGCTGTCGGACCGCTCTTCAAGGAATACTTCAGCATCACGATCGAACATAGTGCTGGCGCCGTTGACTACACCAGCCGTCTCCTGGACCTTGCCTCCCGCCTTGAGGCTCGCCAGACTACTCTCCCCCCCAACCTTCAGATCTACCGTCTCCTCGAAGGCCTCTCCCCTCAGTATGAAGTGCGCGTCATCGCCTTCACTGAGGCTCAGCCCCGCGCCTCCCTTGACACTGTGGTCCAATGGATCATTGACGCTGAGGCCCGCCTTCTCTCAACCCCCCCCTCCGGCCTGAACTCCACCGAGTCCCAAAACCCCCAGCTTGCAGTCACACAGCCGCGTCGTGGCGGGCGCCCACGTGGCGGCCGCACCAACCCTCAGGGAGGGGGTGGAGGTGGCGGTTGTGGAGGCAGCGGAGCCGGCGGCAGTGGTGGCGGGGTCGAGGGTGGCAGCAGTGGTGGTGGTGGAGGCAGTGGTGGCTCATCTGGTAGCCGTGGTGGCCGCCCTGGCACTCTCCCCCCATGTTCCTATCTTCGCCGTTTTGGTCCCAGGGCAGGTGAGCGCTGCACCCAAACCAACCATCCCCCCGCGACCTGCTTCAAGGCATATGATGACGCCTGGTTCGAGCGCGGCAACACTGGCACACCCCCACGCTGGTCTGCCATGGATCCCCGCCCCTCTCTCCAGGATGTCAAAACCCTTCCGTCTTTCCTCCCCTCTCATCTTCAGCTCTCTTCCTCCTCCTCCTCTGTCGCTGACCCCATAACTCCCCTGGAGCTGCAGCAGTTTCGCCGCTTCCAGCAGCTGCAGCTGCTGCAGCAGCAGCAGCAGTGGGGCTCTGGTGGTCAGGCTGCAGCCGCAGCTGCAGGAGCCGCAGCCGCAGCATCTGCATGGCAGCAGCAGCAGCTTGGCTTTGGCACCGCCGCCATGGCTGCTACAGCCACAACAGGTCCTCCTGGCTTTCCCCTCTGGGGCTCTCCTTCCCCTAGTGCTCCCGCCTCCCACTCCAGCTTTCTAGGCGAGCTCATGCGTTCTTCCCCTGCTTCCACTTCCATGTATCCCTCTGTTTTTAATGCCAGTGATTTCCAGTACCCCGTGTCTTCAGCTCCCTCCTCGCTCACGATTGACTTTGTTCTCGATAGTGGTGCCACTGAAACTGCCCTCAAAGACGCCGGCACCCTCACCTCCCTCCCTTTCCCCACCAACGTTCATGGTGCTGATTCCAGCTTCTCCATCCCTTGCACTCATCTCTCCACCCTCCCCTGCCCCCCCTTCCCCTCTGGAGTGGTCACTGGTCTCCACATTCCCTCCCTTTGTCATAACCTGCTCTCCATTCGTGAACTCCAACAGGCTGGCATCACTACCCTCTTCCCCGCCTCTGCCACCTACTGTGACCTCCTCCACGGCCCCACTCGCCGCCTCCTTCATCGCCTCCCACTTTGCCCTCGCTCTCGTCAGTACATCCTCCGCACACCCCGCCCCTCCTCATGCCACGAGCCACTCTCCCCCCTCCCCTCCCTCTAGAGCCACCTTCTTCCAACTCCACCTCCTCCCCATGCTCTTGTCGCGCACTGTCCCACCCCGCTGTTCTCATCCACCACCGCCTTGGTCATATGAACTTTCCCACACTTCGTAAAGCCGTCTCCTCCCGCTTGCTTGACGGTCTTCCCCCCACTCTTCCTCCCCTCCCGTCCTCTTCCGCTCCCCCATGCGCCACATGCATTCATGGAAAGCTCAAACAACAGCCTCACCTCAGTCATCCTTCCTTTGCTGCTGCCCCCCTTGACCTCGTCCACATGGACCTCTGGGGCCCTAACCCTTCCCCTTCCCGCCAAGGGCACCGGTACATGCTTGTCCTAGTCGACGACCACAGCAGGTACTCCTCGGTGTTCCTCCTCCACACGAAGGCCGAGGCCCCTGCTGTCATCGTTACCTGGGCCGAGCAGTGCCGAGTCCACTTTGGTCGCCCCATCCGCCGCCTCTATTCCGACGGCGGTGGTGAGTTTCTCAACCGCACCCTCTCCTCCTACTGCTCAACCCATGGCATCCAGCAGACTCATACCCTTCCCCACTCCCCTCAGCAGAACGGTGTTGCTGAGAGTCGCATTCGTGAGATCACCAAGACGGCCCGCTGCCTCCTCACTCATGCCTCCACGCCCCCTTCTCTTTGGGGCTATGCCCTTGTCCATGCTGCTCTCCTCACTAATCTTTACCCACATCCTCAACGCCAGTCTGTCACTCCCACTGAGCTCTGGGCTAGCACCAAGCCAGATGCTGCCATTCTCCGTATCTGGGGTTGCAAGGCATATGTCCTCATCCCCCCACCTGACCGCTCTCGGCAGGCAGGAAAGCTCGCCTCCAAGGCCATTGAGTGTGTCTACCTTGGCCACGCTCGCTCTGCCCCTGGTTACCTCTTCCTTCACCCGTCCTCAGGCCGCCTCCTACAGAGCCGTGACGTGGTGTTCGATGAGAGCATCCCGTTCTATCATTCTGTTCCGCCTTCCGACCCCCTTCCTCCTCTCTCCCGCCCCCTCACCTGGGCTGATGCTGTCATTCCCCCACTCCTTCCCCAGGCTCCCCTCCTTCCTCCAAATCCTGCTCCTCCCCCTCCTCCTTCCTCAGGTGACATTTACGACCCAGCTGTCCCTGACTCCCCTGCTCACTCTGCCTCATCGCACCAGCACCAGCAGCAGCAGCAGCAGCAGCAGCAGCAGCAGCAGCAGAAGGAGCAGCAGCAGCAGCAGCAACAGCAGCAGCAGCAGGTGCAGCAGCAGCAGCGGATGGAGCAGCAGCAGCAGCAGCAGGAGGTGCAGCAGCGGATGGAGCAGCAGCAGCAGCAGCAGCAGCAACCGCAGGCAGTGCAGCAACAGCAGCCGCAGCAGGAGGTGCAGCAGCAGCACCAGCAGCAGCCACAGCAGCAGCAGCAGCAGCAGCAGCAGCAGCAGCAGCAGCAGCAGCAGCCACTGCAGCAACCTCATCGGCATCGCCGCACCACCTCTCCGTTCATCCTCCCACGCATCCCACTCGCTCTCACGGCCCACTCATAGGCCATCCATGGGGTTGGCCAACACCACCCCCACCCTCCCTTCCCTTCATTGAGGACTCCCATGAGGAGCTCATTGGAGTTCAGCAACAAACACCTTCCCTTACGCCTCTCTACCCGGGCTTCCTTGGCCTCCTCATCCTTGGCATCGCTACCGCTCCCACCAGATTCACTCCGTCCAACTTCCTTGAGGCCATCACCTGCCCCGATGCTGCCAAGTGGATCCAGGCTATCTTTGCTGAATGCGAGGCCTTCATCCGCAATGCCTCATTCATTGACATTGTCCCCTCTCCTGACGACGTCATTGTGGAAGGCATGTGGGTGTTCCGAGTGAAGCAGTTGCCAGGTGAGGAGCCGGTCTACAAGGCCCGGTATTGTGCCAAGGGCTTCACCCAAACCCATGGCATCGACTACTGGGAGACATTCTCTCCCACTGCCAAGCTCCCAACTCTCCGTGCCATCCTCGACTATGCTGTTCGCATTGGCATGGAGATTGCCTCCATGGATGTCTCCAATGCCTTCCTGCAAGGCGAGCTCCAGGAGCGGGTCCTCTTGCGGCGGCCTCCAGGCTTTCATGCAGCCTTCCCTGCCAACACGGTCTGGGAGCTGCGCCGCCCGGTTTATGGCCTCAAGCAGACTCCTCGCGAGTGGCACAACAAGCTGGCCGCCACTCTGCAGTCCTTGGGGTTCCATGCCTCTCAGTCTGATGCCAGCCTTTTCCTTCGCTCCTCTCCCACCCGCTTCTTCATCCTGGTGTATGTCGACGACATGATCCTGTTCGCTGACGATGCTGCCGGCATGCAGCAAGTGAAGGACGCCCTGCATGCGCGCCTCAAGTGCAAGGACCTGGGTGAGCTCAAGCACTATCTGGGCATGACCATCACCCGGGACTGCACATCGCGCACCATTACCCTCTCTCAGTCCTTCTACATCGACCAAGTCTTGCAGCGGTTCGACATGGCGCAGGCCAAGCCGGTTACCACTCCCCTGCAGACCAACCACCAGCTTGCCCCTCCTCCTGCTCCCTCCTCCTCTGACCATCCTTACGCTGAGCTCGTCGGCTCGCTGATGTACGCTATGATGTGCACCCGCCCCGACCTTGCCTACCCCATCAGTGTTCTTGCTCGATTCGTCGGTACCGGTCGCCACACTGATGAGCACTGGGCTGCAGCGAAGCGGGTCCTCCGCTACCTCCGTGGTACCAAGGACTATGTCCTCACCCTCGGAGGCTCTTCTCCTCCCCTCCTCTCTGGCTTCAGTGACTCCTCCTGGGCTGACTCCCAGCCGGATCGCCGTTCCTCTCAAGGCTACGGCTTCACCCTTGGCAGCGGCCTCATCAGCTGGCGCTCCACTCGCTCCTCCTCCATCGCCCTCTCATCCTGCGAGGCTGAGCTCTATGCTTGCACCATGGCCGCTCAGGAGGCTCGCTGGCTCACCTTCCTCCTTGCTGAGATCGGTGCTCCTCAGCGCTGTCCCACCCTCTGGTGCGACAACGCCAGCACCATCCATCTCACAAAGGACCCTGTCTTCCATGGCCGCTCCAAGCACATTGAACTCCGCTACTTCTTCGTTCGAGAGTTGGTCCAGCAAGGTCACTTGGTGGTCCGCAAGATCGCTGCAGAGGCCAACTTGGCCGACATCTTCACCAAGGCCCTCCCGAAGACCGCGCACTCTGCCCTCCTCCGCCTTCTCGGCCTTGGGCCCCACCCCCCTTCCTGATTCTGGGGTTGTACCCTACATATACACTAGCTTTGCATGCTATGGGGTTGTGTTAGAATATACCATGCTATGCTAGTTGTGTATATTGTGTTTACATCCCTAGTTGGGTGTACACCTGTGTTGGGGTGTCAATCCAACCCAATTGTGGTTGGAGCCCCCAAACACAAGGACCACAATTGTGGGGGCACCACAAGTGGGTTGGCTAAACCACTGGTGGTACACCACACTTGGACCACCTCCAACTGGTGGTCAACCACATTTGGAAGGATCCTCCCTCCCTTGTGATTGGTCCTAACCCCCCCTTCCCTTCCAACCTTCCCTTCCTAGCTCATCTCTCTCTTCCTATGTAATGCCTTTGCTTCATCAATAAACTGAACCTTTCTGTTTCTAACAGACGGCTGACGCGAGGGGCCAGCAAACGGCGGCAACATGGGCCGGCGAGGAGCTGGCGCGACGGCGAGTAGGGCCAGCCACGACGGCGAGGAGACATGGCCGTGACGGCGGCCAGGGACAGCCGCGACGGCGGTTAGGGGCAGCCGCGACGGCAGGAGTGACCGTGAGGCGGCTGGAGACGGCAGCGACAGCAGCTAGGGGCGGCCGCGACGGCGAGGGGGCGGCCGTGAGACGGCTAGGGGCGGCCGTGGGATGGCAGGAAACGGGCGCGACGGCCAGGGGGGGGGTGGGCTAGGGACGAGCGCAACGGCTAGGGGGCCGGCTAGGGACGAGCGCGACGGCCAGGAGGGCCGGCTAGGAGCGGGGCACGACGGTGGCTAGGGCCTAGGGGGCGGAAGCGTGGGCGGGCTAGGGGGGGTACCTAACCTACTATGATACCATATCAGAAAGAATAATTTAACTAGAATGTGTGAGTACAAGGGTGTATAGACTAGGGTATTGTACCCTCCTAGGCACAATCCAGTATAGTCTACAGTAACGACCTAAATTACATTTGACATTGAGGACTTAGCGAAAAATTCAGATTAGCAGGGACTTTTTGGAGGATTGTTTCTAGCATTCAGGACTTCGCCGGAATTTTAGAGCAGTGGGGGGGTTTCCGAGGATTGTCTCTAAATTTCAGGACTTGGCCAATCTTTTGGAGAAGCAGGGGTTTTCGGAGGGTTGTTGCTACCTTTGAGGACTTAGCCGAAATGTAAAATTCAAGGCAAGGGCTACCCTAGTGGCGGCACGTGCATTCAAGATTCGAGGAATCAGGGTTATCCCCAAAGGTATACTGACAGCTCAAGGCTGGTACACGAACACTTTACTGAATCCTCAGGGTTGCACTATGATTTAAAAATGAATTCACAGGGTGAAAAATGACCTTAAACGGATTTTTCAGGTTTGGCACCTAAAAGGCATACTGAAAATAAAAAATTCATGATAAAACATCCTAGTATCTAAGGCCCTGGTTGAGTATTTGAACCCTTGCACTAGTATGTGAGAGCAAATGATTGATTACGGTAAAAGAAACAAGCATACAGCAATATATAGAAAATAAGAAATGAAGCAGTTGTAGAATACATTTGAAGAAACAGTTATTGAGTCGCACAGCGACTCGATTGTCTGTCCGGTTACCATCCTTGCAGTTGCAACGGTCAATCGCAACCTCCGATTGCGACCCTTTGAGTCCCTTCGCCCTTTCGTATTCTTTCGTCCAACCTCCTCGTGTAACCTCCGTTGACTCGCATACCCGATACGACTTTCCTCGAGTGTAGTGTTACACTTCAGAAACGCTCAAGTCTTCGAGGTATTTCCAATAGTCCCCTTTGTTTCTGGAGTGCTGACGTGTCCGGATTCGGTGACGTTTATCTGCCCGGTCAGCAGCATGCAGTAATCGAACTTTGCCTTCGCCGGTTTCTTCGTCAGATAATCTGCAGCCATTTCTGTCGTGGGGCATTAACTGAGTTGAAGTCTCCCCTTCGCGATCTCATCCTTGACGAAGAAATACCGCAGGTCGATGTGCTTGGTTCGATTGGCGAACCCGTTTTTATTCGCGATTTTGATCGCGGATTGGTTGTTGTAGAATAACGAGAAGGCGGGCATGGTCGCAATTTTCGCTTCCTCGAGTAGCTCCCGCAGGTAAAGTCCCTCTTTGGTTGCAGTACAGAGAAAGATTTATTCCGCTTCAGCCGAAGATTGTGCGATTAGTTCCTGCTTGCTCGACTGCCAGGAAATAGTCCCGATAGGCTCTAGTCAGTAGATGTAGCCCGTTCTGGAACGCCGATTCCCCTTGTCTCCTGCGTGGTCAGCGTCGACATAGTCGAGTAGTTGTACGGACGACGGTGTCACCTTGCTGTAGGTGAGTCCGATCGTCGGCGTAGAGACGAAGTAGAGCAGTGCCCGATTCAGCTCCTCGAGATGCTCTTGCTCCGGCTGCTTTAGGTGTGTCGCTAGTTGGCTAGAGCTGTAGGACAGATCCGGTCGGCAGGTTACTGCTGCAAACAGGAGGCAGCCGAGCTTCTGTTGGTATTCCTGGATTTGCTTAGTGGGGAGCTTCGCGGAGGTGTCGCTGTTGTCGTTCCTGTAGCGATAGCGAGTTGCGGCTGCGATCGGTGTTAGTCCGAATATCTTCGCGACGACGCCTGCGTACTTTCCGGCATGTAGGTAGAACGCCGAATCGTCTTCGACGACGTTCGGCCCTAGATACTGGGTGACGGTGTCTGACACCGTGAGTGTTAAGTTACTCTTCAGCTCCCCTTTGAACCAGGTGACGACGTCGGTAGTGGAGCCGACGTAGAGCAGGTCATCGACGTAGACGATGAGTAGGACGAAATCGCTCCCCTTCTGCAGTCGGTACATCCCTTGGTGGTGCGGCAGCTGCAGGAAGCCGATCCTAACGAGGCCGCCGTGAAGGTGCAGCTGCCAGAGCCGCGGGGCTTGTTTGATTCTGTAGAGGGATTTTATCAGCTGGCAAACTTTTGTGGGATCGTCGATGAAACCGTGGGGCTGCTCAACGAAGATCTCAGCGTCCAAAGGTGCGTACAAGAAGGCGTTGGCGACGTCGATCTGCCGCAGTGGTAACTTTTTTGTGGCCGCGACGGCGAGTAGAATGCGCAGGGAGGTATGTCAGGAGACTGGGGCAAATGTCTCCGTGTAGTCGGTTCCATATCGCTGATTGAATCCACGTATGACCCAGCGAGATTTGAAGCGGTCGATCAAGCCATCCGCGTTCGTCTTGATTCGGTAGACCCACTTCCCCGAGAGCACATTCCGCCTGTTGGTCTTTGTTGCAGGGACTACTTTCCATGTGTTTCGGTCTTGCAGGGCCTTCAGTTCCTTTTCCATTGCTTCCTTCCATTTCGCCTTGTGTTCCCCCC